GTCATGTTTCTGGACTGTGGGAGGAAGCCGGAGAACCCAGAAAGAACCCACCATGCACAGGGAGAACATGCAAACTCGATGCAGAAAGACCTCGGGCCAGGAATCGAACCCAGAAGAAAACTCAACTAGCAACTTAAGGATTCCAGCCCTAAAATGTAAAAATTCTCACAGAAACAGAAAACTTATAGACACCGTTTATAAGCAAAGACAACTTGTTTTGGGCTTAGTTTCCATTTATGTGGCCATTGTAAAGTGATTAAAGTTAATGTCAAACTAATTTGAGAAAATGTGTAAATCCATGTAAAGAGTAAAGTTTAGAAGGATTTTAAAATATGACAGTCACCACACTAGTTTTCAGTTTTCAAGTGTACACGCTTTGACTTCATTTCTTATTTTGTTTTTAAAATTGTTTTTTTTTCTCCTTTTCTTATTTAGGTTGGTGGTAATGTAGTACCCAAAATCAATCCCTGGGCGTAGAACTACTGCGGTAAGTCTAAAAGTTTAACTAATCCACCCTGTGACAGTACATCCCCACCCCAGTCAAACATGCCAAGATACACTGAGAGACATTGCCACGTGTGGAGATGAGTAGATGGGTGGAGGGGTGATAAGAGAGGGAGTGGCCTGCAAAAAATAAGCATAGTATTTTACTTATAAACTTTGTGGCTTTAATCTGTCTTTATATTTGTCTTTATTTTTTATGAGGACAAAAACTGGCATTACAACATGAATCAGTAATACTTATACCACATAAGTCACAACATCTTTGGGTGAAACAAATTCATACAAAAAGTCAGCATTTGCACAGAAACATAGAAATGTAGATATAAAACTCCAAATATCGTAATTAGGCCGTTTATCAGCAAAGGAATGCTGATTTTGATATTTGAACTCTTTAAAAGTGATTCAGCATTTATTATTTAACACTGTGCTGTTTATAATGCATATAAGCTGGACATTTAATCTGAAACTGTCACTTTTTTCTGTTTTGATTTTTAGACTTTTTTAAGAAACTGAAGCACTATGAGAGATTTTCATTGTTTGTGTAGTGGTAAAAATGACTGCAGTCAGTTTATCATTTAACACTTAAGTCAAGATAATATTGTGTATTTAGGACAAAACAGGATGTAAGTACTGGCTGGCATTTGGGTGGATGTAGGCATAGAAAATATTTTGGCTACATTACCTCCTTTTAAAGTCAGGTATACATCTTAGAAAGAGAGATTTGTGAACCTTACAGCACAAAAAATCCACATCCTGATTTTATTGTTGTTCTTTTCTAGCGGAAAAATCTGGGATGATACCTGGGAACCTGCAAGTAAATCCTCTCATGTTGCTGTCCACCAAGTGCCACTTCCTTCAGACAGCGAACAAGTCCTTCCATGATGTTACTTTTTCTTTTTTGTATTACAAAGTATTAATTTCTTTTCTTTTTTTTTACTGCAGTTTGACCATTTTACGAAGTTCTCTGTGTAATATTGTTTTCGGCCATTCACTGAAATGAATGTTATGGTTGTAATATATGTAAGCTTATGTTGGGCTGTTTACTGACACATTTTTGTCAAGTTCTGTTAAAGACTAAGTGAGGCTGATTGAGTCACTGCATCAGGCAGGTATTGTGCCTGTATTAAGTCTTGAAATTTAGAACAGAATTGTTTGTAGATTTTGTTCAGTAAATATGACCTAAAGTCTTAAAAACTTTAAACATGGTATTGTACACATTTCTTTTTGAGTGTTTTTAATGTTGATGTGGATGTACAAAGTAAAGTCTATAAAAATACATAACAAAATAAGCACAACTTGATTTTAATAACTAAATGGAAGTGTTTTTTTTTTTTAACTCAAAAAGCTATTATTTTAATATTATCTTTTTTGTGTCATGGATTTTGTCAATCAAGAATGTATTTGCAAAATGCTATAATAAAATTGCTTTCAAATGCAGTACTTTTATTTTTAATCACAGCAACTTTAAGTGAAGTTATTGATGAAGAGCATGATAAAATACATTGTAAGGTCCAGATCAACTGACTGTATTAGAACAACACATTTTAATAAACCTATGTCACAAATGCCATACTTTTGAAGAACACACGAAATATAAATTTGCATTTATATATATATAGATATATAGATATATCTATATCTATCGGGACAGGTATATCTATATCTAGATAGATCTAGATCTATAGATATGTAAATCCAAATGTATATTTTGTGTGTTCTTTAAAATTGTGTATGGCATTGTGTGTTGTCTGTAAGGCATGCTGCAAGGTTAAACTGTGTAACAGATTCGTTTCCTACACACATGCAGAACTGTGTGAATGTGTTTTATTCAGTATGATCAGTATTTACACATAAAAAAAGTTTTATGCAGAAGTATTTTGAATAGCATGTTTACCTGTCTAAGGTTAATTATTTAAGTTTGCAGCTTATTTTGTGTATAAAAGGAAAACCAGATTAGTAAATTAACATTGAATCAGTTTGAGTCTACTGTAATTTAAACTACATTAGTATAGTAATCTAAATTATCTAAATTGATTGACATAATGCTTTTCTCCTAGAGAAACACTATGTTAAATTTAACAATCTAGGGCTAGATTGGGGTTAGGGTTAACCCTAACGCCATCACTAATCTCAAATTGGGTGGTAGAGATGGATTAATCTTCAAATGCTTTATGAAAGTAATGGTTCAAAGATGCATTTTCTCTAGAATTGAGCTCTGTAGCCCGACTCTAAATCTGTTCTAGTGGAAAAAGAATGATCTGCCTGAGGCCTCAGGCCTCTGTGGTTCATTTCATCATTTCATAAGCTTGCAGAGAAAAGGCATAAAGAGAATGTAAGTTAAGTTGTGTCCATCTAATTATTGTAGTTGAAATAGAGGTCTACCCCTTTTGGTTTGTAAATGCATCCAAATACCAAGTTAATGTTAAGATTATTTCACTAAGTTGGGACGCTCTGTTTTAAAAAAGAAGTTAGGTCCAAATCTGAAGCATTTCAACTAAATGACACCGACAGCAAGTTCTACCAAACCTTAGTCAGCTTCCTTTTTCACCTGTCAACTGTTGAACCTAGACATGCATAAATAACGCTAGGTCTACGGGTCCTTTTCAAAAAATTAGCATATTGTGAAAAAGTTTATAATTTTCCATAATGTAATGATAAAAATTAAACTATCATATCTTTTAGATTCATTGCACACCAACTGAAATATTTCAGGTCATTTATTGTTTTAATACTGATAATTTTTGGCATACAGCTCATGAAAACCCAAAATCCGTCTCAAAAAATTAGCATATTTCATCCAAACAATAAAAGAAATGTGTTTTAATACCAAAAAAGTCAACCTTCAAATAATCGTGTTCAGTTATGCACTCAATACTTGGTCAGGAATCCTTTTGCAGCCTTCAATGCGGCGTGGAGGAAATCAGCCTGTGGCTCTGCTGAGGTTTTATTGAGCCCAGGATGCTCCGATAGCGGCTTTAAGCTCATCCAGAGTTTTGGGTCTTGCGTCTCTCAACTTTCTCTTCACAATATCCCACAGATTCTCTATGAGGTTCAGGTCAGGAGAGTTGGCAGTTGACAAGTACTGAAATTTTATTTAATTTATTTATTTTTAATAAAGACATTGACAGACAAACTGAACCGCATTCAATTGACCATGGATAAGAAACTGTTCCACCAGTACACACTTTGTGTATTCTTTGGATTAAGAAATAAGTTAGAGCTGCTCATATTAATAAAAAAAGAAAAGTAGAAGATCCAAAAAGATGTCTTGGTTATGTTAGATACTACAGAATCACTGGGACTGCTTAATGTAGCATTGTAGCCATTTAACTGCTCAACATAAGCACAAGTGTTATTACTCCACTTGAAGTAAAAATAGTAAAACTATTAAATTAACTACAATTTCTCTTATTACCTAGAAAATACACTAGATGTGCAGAAACATAAGTGANAAAGNAACACACTCAATGACATGCATGTGGAAGTAATTACAGCTCTAGTAAGCCCTTTTAGAAAATACAAAGGCACAAACAAATTAACTATTTAAAAAAAAAGAATCAACAAGATAAAACACTGCCCATTTGGAAACATGAAAGCACAAGAACAAATTGTAAGGTGTCTCTCTGTGACGTATGAGCAAACTATATATATATATGACTATCAGTCACTACTGAAGTCGTCGTCAAAGGTAACGCTCTCTGCTCCTGACAAAGTCTGTAGATCAGGGTGTCCAAAGTCAGTCCTAGTGGCCCGGCATCCTGCATGTTTTATTTTCTCCCCGGTGGGAGAAACAACCTTTTCAGCTTGTCAATGTTCTTCTTAGGCCTCTAAAGAGTCATCATTTGATGCAGGTGTGTTAAACCAGGGAGAGAACTAAAACATGCAGGATGCCGGGCCACTAGGACCCACTTTGGGCTCCCCTGCTGTAGATAATACAGCAGCTGCAGCTTCATCTGTTGGTGCTGCAGCTCTCTGAGGATGATGCTCTGGAGTCCTCTTGTGCCTTCGTCAGTTAGGTCACAGGACAAACCTTTAAAGTTGAACATAAATAAAAATCCAAAATTTAGATGCTTTTACTTTTGGTATGATTATGCGTTACTTAAAAACCTACTTTTAAATTTACCTCCCAATAACAGGTGGGAAACTCCTTTAGAGTGTCTTCATAGGATGACAGATTTCCAATGATGGTCCATCAACAAGGATCCTCTTTTCCTCTTACAGTCTCTTTACCATCATGATGTCATCGATTGCCCTTGTTTTTGTCTGAAGACTGACAGAGTCTGAAATGCATTTATGAAAAGGACAAATCAACTCAGTAAAAGTTTAAATTTGTAAGTTTAGCTCAACACCTGGAGTATCTAGTCATATTATTTTCAAGATATGGCCAGTACTTGCATGTTACATCCATTGAAAAAAGTGATTGTCTGTTGGCCAGCCTTTGATGAAAGAACGAAGCTTATGCAAATATCTCATACTATCTCGAAGAGCACTAAGCAGCACTCCATGTCTACACACCGCTAGCTACAAGCCTCCTCACCCAGTTTGCTGCTGGACCTGTGAGAGATCTCCCTGGCTGCTGACCATTGCCCACCACAAAATCTAGAATGCATACAATTCAGTCAGGCAAGCTGTTATTACAGGCTAAAAGGTTACTGTTATTATACATTTACAATCTGCAGTCTTACATTTTTGGTTGATTAGTGTATACAGTCCACAAATGTTCCTACGTTTTCATCCTTGGCAATGAAAAGGTCCTGAATAACAATTCTTTGAATCACTCAAACCCATAATATAAATAACTATATTATCAAAATTTAAATAACTGTCAACATTGGCTGTGTGAGTACTTTGACGTACATATCCCAGAAGGGCTGTCTGACTCTATCCTTGAGTGGTTATGTTCTTCAACATTTTGGTGTAACTGGTTAAACACACTTGAATCAAATGAGGTGCCACCACATTCATTCCGCATTCAGATCATATGAAGTCCTGGTAACATCAAAATTAATTGAGTGAGATGTTTTGTGGCAGAGAAACACCTAAAACGTGAAAGACACCTAACCTTTTATTGATGCCTGGTATTTGGACACCTATGTCCTATTTTATGTTTTCTTTTTTTATCTCTCATTTTAAATCACAGTTAAGATCTCGGCTGACAGCTTCCTGAAATGATTTTTGAGCGGGAAGCCATAATATATGAGTTGGATAAAATGTTAAGGAAGGATCCCTTCAAGTGTCAAGCTTGTACCCCAGATGTGCTTTCAGTTTCAGTGGATGGAAACTGCAAGTATTACCATTTAAAGAATGCAGCAAGGTATTGTAAAATGTGTAAAATATAACAATTCTTTGTATATGTTAGTGATGTTCACTACCTTTGGACTATAACACCTCATGAAGTGTGTTTTATTGCTTTGTTTTCAGACTGGAGGAACAGGCTATTTTAACAGCAATAAATAACAGACAGGAGGAAAGGAATTTGCCTGTACTGTCGCAAGTTCATTTTTAATTCAAGTAAATGACCTAGCTGCAATCAGTGTATTCAGACAGGGTTCAAAACTTTAAAGATCATCACAGCCTGGGGGCACTGATGCTTTTAGCAACCCTCCAATATTACAAAGTGGCAACAACAAGCATGACTATAAACATTATGTGACTCTATCGTGGCTAATTAAACGTATTAAGGACAGGTACTGTGTGCAGGTACAATTAGCCTCCAAGAGGCTAATTTAGCTAGCTTCCACAGTATATTTTGCGGTAAAATAAAAATGTTACAAACGTGTCTTCAACCATTCGCATCACAGTCCTACTGCCATTAAGTCCTAAAACTACCATCAGTAATTTTATAACGTAACACTTTGGAGTTATTTTTGGTTTTAGAGTACAAAAACATTTTGACAGATGCAGATTTCTACTCACCGGAGTGTAAGTGTCGCATATGATGACGTCAGCTTATTCTTCTTCTTGGGTTTTTGTGGGATCGGTCCTTATTTTTATTTCAATCGAACATATTAAAAGGTTTACAGAACAGTTTGCATGCAATCACAAACGAAAACACATTGTTATGTAGCTATGTGATAAAACAATACATTATTCAATGGTACTATTTTGTGTCCTATGTGGAAGAATACCAAGTGTGGTATGAGCGTATTGATCTCATGTTGTTCTGAGGCAAAAATGGCTAATAAACTAAGTCTCGTTCCACTGAGGTTCTGTTGAATAATAGTTTGTTAAGTTATGAGAAGGAACATAACACACATCTTAATTTTTCTTAAATTTATTTGGTGTAAATCATTGATATCATACTCAAAAATAGTTTTGTTTTATTTTTTTATTATTTTTTTAAGGCTTTTAAATCAAGCTAACAACCACAACAAAACCCCTCCGGTTTTATATTTTACTGAGTTATTTTTAAATACCGAATTAAAGCTTTATGACCGATACTCTGACATGTATTTGTAGTAAATATTCTTAATATCCTGTTCAAACTAGGACATAAATTGTAAATAAAGGTTTTTTAAAAAATAGAATAGACACGTCATCTTATTTGTTCCTAAGTCGTCAGAATCGGATGCTTCGGGAACGGTACAGCATTCAATGAGAGAACCCTCCGCGTCACATATTAACGCCAAGGGAGTACCCTTGGCGTTAATATATGACGCCAAGGGTACCTGACAAAACGTCAATATGTGACGAGTTGGGAGTGAGAATGTGTTGTGATATCATGTTCAAGTCTTCAGTTGTTGATCTGGTGTAAAACGGGAAAAATGTTGAGATAATCCAATCTGTTGATTAGGAGATGAAATCAGAAGAGCATGAAGTCCTCCTCAGCACAGAGGGAAAATGTAGTGGTGCATTTAGAGCACAAAGACCGTCCTTATTGTGCAGAACTGATCAAACTCCGAGACCAGCTTACTCAATCAGCAAGCCGCATCAGCGATCCTTTACATAATTTTGGCTTCGGGATGACGGGCACAGATCTAAAGTCCCGGAAGGTTCTTGAAGCTTTCTCTTATTACCCTGGTGAATGTTCCAACAGGTTTCTGCAGCCAAATGTAAACGAGTTTCTGCAACCAATGGGAAGACAGGAACCACGAGGAGCCAAAGTCACACATTTTCCTCATCTTGTCAGGGAAGAATTATGACTGCAAAAAATTAAAAATAATAATTAAAAAAATCCACAAGTGTAAAATATTTGTAATTGTACAACATGATGTGTAATACAATGCATGAATGTGCACCAATATTCACATATGTCTAAGCAGTTTCTCCAATGTACACGTTTCAAACCGAACAAGTACAGTTACACACTACGCATAAATCGTCAAATGCGCGTGCACGAATCCCCCAGCTGCGGACACACTTTTCTCACCACACGGGAGATGATGCGTTCAGGGCAAATGAAAAGCTGGGATATCTAAGAATTGTAATTGTAGTGCTGCATCGAAGGCAGAAGAAAAGCTCGGATATTTGAGCCTTCTCAGACTTCTTGGAAATACAGTATTCTTGACCTGGCACAGCAGTCCAAAAACACAATACTAGATCCATGCTCTTATATTAAAGTTACTGAATTCTAAAAATATCAACTTTTTAGGGTGCACTGCTGAAATACGGAAAAATAACAACTGCCTGAAAACTTATGAGAGCAACAGCGCCATCTTGTGGCAAAGGTTTAACTTCCAGAAACCACAGGGTGGTCCATCTTCTGAAGTGTGATCTTAATGTACAACCAAAAAAAGAAGCTTACAGTTGATGTTGGAATGTACACAGTCCAGTTTATTAGTACAATATATTAGAAAAACACAGGTTTAAAACAATTGGAAATTAGTTTGAAATCGTTTTATGGTTTGTTGTTAAGAGTTTTTGATCTGGGAGATCAAAACTCCCTATATCAAATTCTGATTAGTTGACAAAACAAGACAGAATATGTAATTTTGTACTAAAAAATAGATCTTTTCTAGATAAACAAAAAATGTTTTTCAGACGATAAAAATGTTTGGATAAACAACCTATAATAATGTTTGATGTGTGAAATAACCCGAAAAACACAGATTAAAAAAAAAAAAAACACCCTGTAGAATTTATCTCCCAAATTTTAAGTAACAATGTGCACTCAGTTTGGTAGGGTAAATTTAATCAAATATTTTTAGTAAAGCGCAACTAATCTCAACACCAAAAGAAATTAGTTAAAGTCTGCTAAATATTTCTGGGAATACAAACTTTCCTTTGGTTGCCATTTAAATGGACTGAGTGCACCACCAGAAGTGTGTCTTTGCGAGATATTGTGACGTAGCTGTTTTATTAAGGCTGTTTTGTTTATTCATTTTGAGGGACTGAGGCTCCATGTTGTGGCAGTGATGTCTTGTCTTGTGTTTATTTTGCTTGAGCGCTCTTTTTTCCAAGCTTGCTGTGTTTTGTAGGAACTTTCTTGTGCTGATGTGCTGAAGGCAGGGTGTCTGAAAGAGCAGGAGCTTCAGAGTCAAAGGCCCAATTTCAAAGCACTAAATTGCAAAGTCAAATTTCTTTTAAAGTCGTGTTTCATAGCATCTTTATAACACCTGACTGAAGCAGAGCTTCATTTGAGCCAGATTCTGCTGGAACAAGATCCAGGAACCATTTTGACAGGGTACGTTCAGGTTGATGTTTCCTTAGATAGGGTAAGTCTCACACTAATAATAATAATAATAATAATAATAATAATAATAATAATAATAANACATAAAGAAGGCAGGGAGGAGACAGAGCTCTCATCATATCATCCTATTTCATTATTGAATTCTGACATTAAAATATTCGCTAAAGTACTGGCAAATAGGCTAAATAAACATATCTCTTCTATTGTTCATCCGGACCAAACGGGCTTTGTCCCTAAAAGGTTTTCATTTTTTAATATCAGACGGTTAATGAACATTATGTATCATAAATTTGACAGTAAGTTTAAGGGAGCTGTTCTTTGCCTGGATGCTGAAAAGGCATTTGACCAACTGGAGTGGCCTTACATTTTGACTGTACTTGAGGAATTTGGGTTTGGTAGTAAATTTGTGTCGTGGATTAAAACAATGCATGTTCAACCTTCTGCCTCTGTTCTCACAAACCAGGACAAGTCAGAGCCCTTTCTACTGCATCGGGGAACCCGTCAGGGTTGCCCCCTTAGTCCTCTGCTTTTTGTGGTTGCTATGGAGCCCCTTGCCATTAGTATTAGAAAACACTCCCTAATCAAACCAATTCAATTGGGAAACATTGACCATAACATTTCATTGTATGCTGATGATGATGTTGTTTTTGTATCGCATCCTGAGCAGTCAGTCCCAATTCTCCTAGACCTTATTCAGTCATTTGGCGAGATTTCAGGTTATACTATTAACTGGCAGAAGAGCGAATTTATGTCATTAGGTGCAAGACTTACTTCTGAATTCTTAGATAACCTTTTATTTAAGATAACTGACAAACTGAAATATCTTGGAGTTATTCTGCCTAAAGACCCCAAACAAATTTTCAAATTGAACTTTTTAGAAAAAGTGGATAATCTTAGGAAAGATGTTGATAAATGGAGAACACTCCCACTCTCAATGATGGGCCGCATTTTGCTATTAAGATGGTGTCCTTGCCTAAATTTTTATATCTTTTTCAGGGTCTGCCTATTTTTTTTTTTAACAAAGGCCTTTTTTAAAATCATTGGGCTCAATAATTTTGCCTTTTGTCTGGGGCTTTAAAGCCCATAGAATATCAAAAGCTCATTTACATAAACCCAGAGGGATGGGGGTGGCGGGGGGTTAGGATTACCCTGCTTCCAGCACTATTATTGGGCAACGAATGCAAGGGCCTCGGTATACTGGCAGGAAGGTGATGCTCAAGAACTTCCTGCAAACTCTCCCCCTTGGGTGGCTATTGAAAGAAGTAGCGTTATAAACAGTTCTCTTCTGGCACTTCTTTTCTCAGCACCAATATCTCCTACAAATAGTGGAATAAATAATTTGATTGTTTTAAATTGTTTGAAAATATGGAAACAAATTAAGGTATACTGTAACCTACCAGAGACCTCAGTTCATGCCCCAATTTACCGTAACCATGCTTTTCCCCCATCGCTATCGGATATATAATTTAAAAATTGGAGACTTAAAGGTCTAATTACGCTGAAAAATTTGTATATTCACAAAAAGTTTGCTTCATTTGCAATGTTGAAGAGCTGTTTCTCTCTTCCGGATGCGGATTTTTTTAGATATCTGCAAATTAGAAATTTTGTTCGAATTAACATCCCAAATTTTGTATCTCTTCTGGAAGAAAATAAGATATGCAAAATGCTATTGGGCTCTCCAGAATGAAAAAATAATAATTTCAAGCTTTGTTGACATCTTTGCAGAGCAAATCAATTTCACCACAAACTCCTTGAGGGTTGCGTGGGAGGAGGAGCTGGGTTTGCAGATTGGGAGTGAAGTCTGGGAAAAGGGTCTTGGGAGGATCCGGTCATGTTCTATCAATGTAAGACATCAGTTAATTCAGTTCAAGGTGTTTCATAGACTCCACTATTCTAAAATGAAATTGCACAGAATATTCCCCTCAATATCTTCAAAATGTGATAAATGTAAGTCCGCTGATGGCTCCCTGGCGCATCTGTTCTGGTCATGCCCCAAACTCTTCCAATATTGGTGTGACATTTTTAACTTGTTTTCCGAAGTGTAT